AATGTAAGAAAAGGCAAGATGGTTGTCCAGATGGGCAATTTGCACTGTTGTCCTCTGTTTGTGACCAAAATGTAGTGAAGACCAAGGAAGAAGATACAGAGCTGGAGAAACACTGGAGTTTTTGTACAGGTTCTTGATTCTGTGGCAGAATAAAATATTTACAAGATGGGTATATAGTGAAAAAGAGACATTAAGAGCCTATTATCAAAGCAAGACTGGTCGCTTGGGGATTACATGATAAAGGAACCAAAACTGTTCATACAAATTTCCCCACTTGTTCCAATGAGGGTTTGTGCATTGTCTTAGCCATTATATCATCCTTAGGATGGATTTGCAACTCTATGAACATAAAAACTGCCTTTTTACAAAGCAATGATTTTGAAAGTAATGTTTACCTCCCCTCACCTCCTGAAGCTTATGTACCCAGTAATTGTCTTTGGAAGCCCTGCAAGTGTGTCTATGGTCTTACTGATGCTTTCAGATCATGGTATTTGACTTTCAGAGATGGCTTATTGGAATTGGAAGCTACTGTATCTAAATATGACCAAGTAGTGTTTACTTGGTATCATGGCAAACACTTGCATGGCATTATTTCCATCCATGGGGATGATTTTTGCTGGGCTGGGACTGCATTTTTTCAAGGTGAAGTAATTGATTAGATCCAAAAGAAATTTGAAGTGAAGTCTGAAGCAAAGTCCACCTCTAAATATTTGGGAATGGAAATATCTCAAAAGAGTAACTTAGTGAGAATTCATTAGGGTGGCTATACTGTGTCTCTAAAGTCCATGCCCATCCAAAATAAAGAGAATGAAGAGGAACTTTCAGAGTTTGAGTATACCAAAGTCAAGAAGCTTATTGGTCAATTGGTTAGCCACCCACACCAGACCAGATTTGTGCTTTGATGTCTGTGACTGCAGTTCCTTTCTCAAAGAAAGGAAAGTTGAAAGTATTAGACAAGTAAATAAATCTATAAAAAAGGCAAAAAGGCAGAAATCTCAGCTGACCATACTAGATCTGGGAGATTTAAGACAGCTAAAAATGGTTGCCTACAGTAATGCTTCCTTTGCTAATCTAAGCAATGGATGAGCACAGAATCTACTTAGACACTGGCAATGGCTAACATGGCTGATACATGTATATACTACAGGAAATTCCTTCTCAAATAGTTGGGTTTTGAGTATGTTGTGAATAACATCCCTGTTGTATGCAAAACAGATAATTCAGGTGTTTATGAATCAGCCCATTCTAGCACTCATATTATGGATAAAAGATTTAGAATTGAGATGGCAATCTTGCTTGAAATGTTAACCAATAAAGAATTGTCTGACATTAAATAGGTGCCCACAAGTCACCAAATAGCTGACTCACTTACCAGGAGAGGTGTTCTCTAATCCAAGATTCTTGGACATATTATGGAGCCCAAAGAATATTTGACTTAGGTCTTATGAAATTTCTCATTAACTGTGTTATGTACTCTGTGTGCTTCTGAAGAAATGGGGGAAGTGTTAATGTTGTTGTTGTCCTTACCTTTTGGTTGTTGTTTAGTGCCACTAAGTTAATTATTTTTCAGATTCATGCACTTAATTTCATTTGATATTTAATTTTGACCATTTATCTTTCTTGAAACTCAATAAACACTACTTTTATTGTCATTTAAAGAATGAGTACATTTTTGAGGAACACCCTGTGTGTGTGTGTGTGTGTGTGTGTGTGTGTGTGTGTGTGTGTGTGTGTGTGTGTATTTTTAAGCTTTTCATCCCAAGCAAGGCGGGAGTGCCACTAACACGCAAGGGGTTACAGAGAGTGGGAGTGAGAGTAAAGAGGTGTGAAAGAGGAAAGGATGAAGAAAATGAAAGGGAATAGGTCAAGGCATCTAGAGATGTTGACATTGCATTTGAATAGTTGGAGATTATAGCTATCAGGGGAGCAAGTAAGAGGAAGGGAGTTCCACAGACGGGAAGTCCAAGACATAAAGTTATTGGGGTAGAAGAGACTGCTACATTTAACCATTTTGACAGTGAAAGGGTCACTAAAATGTCTATAGTGGGTAGATGTGTGTATGTAATTTATGATTCATTTCAGTCTTCTTTGACCCAGAAGCATCAGTGGCCAGTTGATCAGAGATCAATCATTGCATTGGTTAAACATTTGACATGGAAAGCCAGGTCAAGTTGTCATTCTGCTTTCTGATAATTCATTGACTGTTTCTTTTTTCTTCTTTTTTTTAATTAATTGCATGAGTTTTTCTTTTGGGTTTATTTCTTAGTTTGTCTGGTCATTAGTCTTTTTGAGCTGTTTACTTAATAGTAAATGGATTTTTGGTGCTATGTCAGGGTAGGGAATAGTGGCTTTACATTTAATGCCTCTCCTATTGTAGTTAGATGTCAGGGTGGCATTCCCACTTCAGTCTTGATATATCTGACTGATCTCCAATTCATATTATATGAGATTGTTGTAAAGACTGTGTCTGCTTTTACTTGGTACATTCCTCACAATATCACAGAGAACCAACATAGCCTTGTGATACCAAGGGGGACTGATGAGGTAGCTTGAGTGAGTGGTTATGATGCCTTAGCCCAGAAACCGTGCCTGAACTCAGTTATCATTTGACGAGAATTTTGTTGGAGACACTGATTTTGCTGTAAAAGTTATTCTATGAATTTATCTCACACACACACACATTATATATATATATATATATATATATATATATATATAATATTCATTTCCTTATTGTGCCTTTATACATTTTTCAAATTAGATTAAAACATGAGATTTAAATAGAAAATACTTTTCCATAGTTAAGTATAGAAAATTAAATGAAATAAATTACTGGAAGCAATATATATTTTTAAATAAGAGAATAACTGTCATCTCTGCAATCATAGATGTAATTTATAGAAACATTCATATACCTCAGATTTGTATAGTTGCATAAATATTACAATGAATATATATTTTCTGTTTATATGTTATTTTTATAGATACAAATATTTAAGTAAATGCTCTGTTTATAATAGATAGTATTCACAACATATATTGGCCTGAATGTCCAAGAAATTTCATAGAAAATATGTGTCCTCCAACAGGAATAAAAACTGTATCCTATACAGAACCATCATATAGCCTGGTGTGTTATACCATTTAGCTACAGAGGAAACATCTGGTTAGCAAGGTCAAATTACTTCTAATGAGAAATTTGTGTGTATATATATATATATATAGAGAGAGAGAGAGATTATCTCATTATTTCACACATTATTATAGTTGATACTTGTATTTGAAATAGAAAAAATAATTCCTTTAATTTCTTAGAAATATATATAGATAAACAAACAGATCTGATTTATTTATCTCTCTTGTTACTATGGAGTACTGAAAAGTTTTTGGCCCAATCAAGAAAAAAAATCTTTAAAATTCGAATGTTTGGTAATTTTATCAGATTTTGGAAAGTAAAATATACCAACAACTTTTCAGCATTACACAAACACGCACACATATTTTAGTTACCTGAAGATTGGAAGAGCAAGGGACTTGAGTAGTGATTCTTCACTGTGTGTTGAATTTTTTGCTCTGGCTATTTAGTCTAAGTATTTAGTCTTGTTGCTTCATTTTAATAAAACTTGGTTGGATGAATACTTGCTGTTTAAATGTACCTTATTCATCTATCTATCTATCTATCTATCTATCTATATATATATATATATATATATATATATATATAAAACTTTATTTTATTTCTTTAATTTACTGTATAGATAGGTTTGGTTTTTGGTCCTTTTCGTTCCTGTTTTTTTCTTTTTCTTCTATTTTTTCTTTCTTTCTTTGGGCTTTTTTTTCTTGTCTAAGGTTTTAGGTGTTTTGGGTAGTTGTCTGTTGATCGTTCTAACATTGTTGTTTTTTTTGTAGTGTGGGTGGGTATATATATATATATATACACACACACACACACACACACACATATGTATGTGTGTTTGTGGTGCTGAAAAGTTCTTGACCTGACAGATTGATTTATAAAAATCTAATCACATGACCAAACCCTCAACATTTTTATAGAATGCCTTCTTCAGCAAGCTGACAATTTTTTAGTGTACCATAGAATATATATATATATATATTTTAAAAATTTACATTTAAATTCCTGTGTGTCTCTTTGTACCTAAGTACACACACACACACACACACTCACATTTTATATAATAATAGTGTCTAGAGTTTTGAGTCTTTCTTTACATTGGATGCTGTAAAGAATTTTGATATTATCTACTATTTGTCTTATGTTGATAATTACATTTTGGTCATTCATGATGTGCTGGTCTATGTGTGCATGGATTATGCTGAGTTTTGACAGATGTCAGGTCAATCTGTGAGATAGTGTGATGCATGTCTGCCCAATGCAAAGAAAGAATCAAAACTTTAAGCTATTATTATACAAAATAAATAGCCCACATTAAATAAAATATCATTGACCACTGAAGGTATCTTGAAGTGCATATGATATAATTAATGTGCACGCATGTTAGTATTAAAAGAATAAATAAATTGCATTCTTTTTGTGCAGCCTTGTTTCCAATAGCCATTACACATGACATCATATTAGACAATTCCAAACATCCAGCTTCTCAAAGAATACCAGGATGCAAACAAAGGAATTCTAGCTACCACACAGACACCACATTGGTTTTTGGTAATGATTGTGAAAGTCAAAAGTATTTGAACAAAAATATGAACTTTGGACAGTTTATCCATCACTTTGAGCGCAATGCTTAATACTTTATTCCAAAATTGTAAAAATTTAATAAAAAATTAACCAGAGAGACTTTGTTGCTTCATTTTAATAAAACTTGGTTGGATTAATACTTGATGTTTTAATGTACCTTATTCATATATCTATCTATCTATCTATCTATCTATCTATATATCTATATATATATATATATATATATATATATATATATATATATATAAAAATAACTTTATTTTCTTTCTTTCTTTTTCAGAAATTGTTTCTCCTTATCTGATTAGCAAGCCAAAGTGTCTTGAATTGTTTGCCAGGAATTTATGGACAGGGTGGACCAGTTGGGGTAATGAGGTAAGAATAATCTTTTCTCTGCCTTTTTTTTTTCTAATCTTAAATTTCCATTTGATTTCAAAACAAAAAATACTTTTCAATGAATTTTCATAAAAGAATTTTCATGACTTTCTTCACATGAATGTATCTTTTACAATCAGATTATAATTTGATGGATGAAATTTTGGATGGCCTTTGTGTATTTGATTTCAAATTGTGATTTTGGTTGTAGAATTTAACGCTATTTAAAATCCAAAGTTGAAACTCTTCAATTCTAACAAAAACAAGAACATAAATTGGAAACTTAACCTTTTTCTCTGACTGTTTTTTTTAAATGCATAATTGTAGTAGTTGTGATTTCTTATTCACTATATCTAATAGTATCTATTGAACTCTCTTCCTCCTTACCTAATCTATTAGTCACAAGTACTTTATATCTTCCTGCTTATGAACACATCACATTGAAACACCTGTTCCCATATAATCACAGAAGTTAAACAATGTCAAGCCTGGTCAGTATCTAGATGGGTGACCGCTTGGGAATAACAGGTGCTGTAAGCTTCAATGTGTGGGTAGTGTAATGGGTAATAGCTTGGAAGTTCCAGTTGGGTACGTTATATTCACTTATGTGTAAATACCCTTAGGAAAAGAATATCAACCTCTCTGGGTTATTTAATGCCAAAGCATATCTACCTCTCTGGGTTATTTAATGCCAAAGCATATCTACCTCTCTGGGTTATTTAATGCCAAAGCATATCTACCTCTCTGGGTTATTTAATGCCAAAGCATATCTACCTCTCTGGGTTATTTAATGCCAAAGCATATCTACCTCTCTGGGTTATTTAATGCCAAAGCATATCTACCTCTCTTCTCCTCCCAGCTTATTATTTACAAAAATAAAATTAAAATTGCATATAAAATATTTAGATTTTGGCATTAAATAACCCAGAGAGGTTGATATGCTGCTAAACAACTAACCAACCATCATATATTCCCATCCATTATATATGAAACCCTTCCATATCTGCTTAGTCACTATTTATCACAAACATCGTACATGACTCTTAGTCAAGTTCTGTTTTGTTCTGTCTATATATAGAGATGGTATAAATCTGTTTATAAGCATTTCTTTTGAATATCACTACTTGCCTGGAAGAGTTGTAAATTTATCTTTCACAGTTTTCCTCAGTATTTGAGTTTAGGGATTTAAAATAAAAGGTTTAGAATCTTGGTTAATACCAGGATTTAAACATTTAAATCAGAAGTGAACCTTTCTGCACCACAGCTGCAAAGCAAGTTCTCTCTCGATTGATAGAAAAATAAAAACATCTGGAGAGGTCAAAGTCAGGCAAGTACAAAAATTTAAATATCTGGAGAGTGTTTTAAGAGCTGAAAGAAAGTGTGACACCAAGATTCAAAGGTATGTTGGAATAGCAAAGCTAAACAAAGTATTAAGAAACAGGAAAATTTCTTTAGAAACAGAAAAGAGTGCTGAACAGCTATGCAATATCAGATGAAAAAGAGACTGGAAGCTAGAGAAATATGTTTCTATAGAAGAATGCTTTGAATAGCATAGAGCAAAGTACTAAGAAAAAGGAAAATTTCTTTAGAAACAGTGCTGAACAGCTATGTAATATCAGTTCTCTTATATGGAAGTGAATGCTGGACAACTTCCTCACAGATGATGAAGAGACTGGAAGCCAGAGAAATGTTGGTTATTCTATAGAAGAATGCAGAGAATATAATGGAGCATATGAGCAATGAATAAGTTTTAAGGAAAAATAAAACTAAAATGACACTTATATGTAGAAAAAAAGATTGTTGAAATTTTGGGACAGCTAATGAGGAAAGAGGAATCATGTTGGAGCATAGATAGTGGCTTGAATTGAGGAATTGGAAAACTGAGTTTGAATTCCAGTTGAGTTCATTACATTCACTTATATGTAAATAACTTTGGGAAACAGTATGAATCCATCTCTTCTCTTCCTCGTCTATGGGTAAATAGCAGAACACACCAACCCCTATAGCTATGGGTGGCAAATGGTCTAAGAGAAGGATCACTCTAAATTCTAAACTTCTGTGAGATTTAAATGAAAATTGGGTGATAGGAAAAATAAATTTTCATTTGAATCTGTTCCCACTGACAGCTAACGTGGAAACCAGAACAGTGCTTTGCCCAGGACTCTGTTTTCTGCACACTATAAACAACAGTACTATTGCTCTTTCTATGGAATGCGAGTGTAACCTTTACCAGTCTCAAGGAACAAACTGCCCTGAAACAAAAAGTCAGCTCTTTTTATCTTTCCTCGGTCTCGGGTAAGAAACCAAGATCTTTCGCTTGTGTTAACCTCGTTCTCACTGATAATGCATGCGCTGTGTCTCTTCAGTATTGATTTGCCAGAGTTCACCTCCCAGGTCTATGATGTCTACAAGCACATGTACAGACAATTCATCTTCTCTTGCTTCAGTGAGGTATGTCTCCCACCACAACTTGCAATTAGTCAAACATGGTGAATATGTCTACACCCCTGAAGACATAGTCAATCAGGGAGAGGTTCCTCCAAGGAGTGAAAAGCCCTGGATCTGATCTTATCTGACAACCTTTCATCTCTGGTACATTTAATGAGAAAAGTGGGTTTGAAGAATCTAACATTCACAGGACATATTGAAGGCAAAAGTTACAGAGAACAAGCAGCAAGTAATCTGCGTAACAAGTTTGTTTAAATGGATGGAAGATCAGGAGTTAAAGCAAATATTGCTTAGAACTAAAAAGGATAGCCTTGATCACACATGTCTTAAAGGACACAGAACATAGAGAAAGAATCAAAACCAAAAGTGATGGACGTGTTCTTCAGTTAGCTTGAACCTCATAATTAGTTTCAAGTTTATCATCTCCAGAACCACTTCCCTTCAGGACTTGCCCAATGGAGGATTTAATAAAAAATAAAATACTTGCTTAATTGTATCATTTCTATTCAATCGTCATTTTAATTGTTAATTGAAGTCAATTGTTATGTTGCCAGTTATTATTTATTTTTGACTCCTCTTCCATCCTATTTCCATTGCTTGTTTTTATGTCATGTAGTATGGCATATAATAATTTAAAGTTATCCAGGTTCTGTAGTTAGTGTTCACTTGTGAGAGAATCAATTTCACTGTCTTTCTTGTCAATTCTTTGATGTTTGCTTTGGCAACAATAAATCTCTTCTTCTTTCCTCCTCCTCCTCCTCCTCTTCTTCTCTTACCATTCAACCACCACAGAAAACCCATACTCGACTATGCGATGATCATAGGATCTAAAACACTTCCTCCTTCCCCCATCGATAATGCAATTTTTATATTCCTTTCGATGGTTGGAAATTTGCATGTTACCAGCAAAACCTCATATTTAAATATTTGCCTTATGAGTGGACATCTTTTTTTTTCCCCTGCCTCTGGATTTCTTTACAATGTGTATGCAAAGTCATTGCGTCGGCGGTAAGTTATTTTTTTCTATATTTGCTTTTTCCTTCAGTTCTCCGACCACAGGTTCCTTGGATGAAGCATTGTTTGTTTGTTTTTTCATACTAGTGGTTAGGAATTAAAGAATGCTGCTAATCTGAACAGTTGCCATGGAAATATCAACAGAGTAGCAATTGGCTTGCACTGTTGCATCTGTAGGAAAGCAGCAGCAGAGTGAAATACAAGATCCTGTAAATTATTTGAACACTATCTAGGCTGGAAAGTGAAAATTGAGAAAGTCCAGACCATATGTTACAACAATACTCCAATGTTTGGTCTAATCTAACTCTTGTAATGGTAAGATTAACCATTTCCTTATAAGGAAAAATTTGGCATTCATTGACTAAGCAGTTTGTACTACTTTTGGTTGAAATTCATGAAATCTTTTTCTTAAAACAATTTTTCTCAAGCCCAGTAGCTGTTATAGCTCTTTCCTGTATTGATGATGGTTTCTTTCCTAACATTTTGTTTGAAGTAGTATGGAACATCAACATCTTAATTATGTCATTATTTTCTCTTCAAGTTACATGTGATATCCATTTTAGATGTTGCTGAAAGTCTTCAAGTAATGTAGCTTCTGTTGTTTGCTAAAGTTCTTTGTGATTCTGTAGCAATAAAGCATAACAGAAGGAGTGAGGTAGTTTCTGGAGCAATAAAGCATAACAGAAGGAGTGAGGTAGTTTCTGGAGCAATAAAGCATAACAGAAGGAGTGAGGTAGTTTCTGGAGCAATAAAGCATAACAGAAGGAGTGAGGTAGTTTCTGGAGCAATAAAGCATAACAGAAGGAGTGAGGTAGTTTCTGGAGCAATAAAAAGCATAACAGAAGGAGTGAGGTAGTTTCTGGAGCAATAAAGCATAACAGAAGGAGGAGGTAGTTTCTGGAGCAATAAAGCATAACAGAAGGAGTGAGGTAGTTTCTGGAGCAATAAAGCATAACAGAAGGAGTAGGTAGTTTCTGGAGCAATAAAGCATAACAGAAGGAGTGAGGTAGTTTCTGGAGCAATAAAGCATAACAGAAGGAGTGAGGTAGTTTCTGGAGCAGTAAAATGAATCAACCATTTTTCCAACATTTTTAGCAGGAGGAGTCAGATAGTTTCAGTCTTTCAATTTGTGTTACTTTTTGGTACAATTCATAGAACAATATTTCATGTCTGTTAAATAAGCAGCAAGGCTTAGAAATAAAAAGTAAGCCTCTAGTGAGATTTAAATTAGCTTTCTTTATTCTTGAAAATCTTTCCATGACAGCAACTTTATGAAGACATTACAATAAGATGTCATTTCAATAAAATATTTTGCTATATTTCTCATTTCTCCAATCTCTGTTCTGCAGACATCTTGTTTGTTTATATATAGCTAGTAGTATTAGATGTCATTTTCTACAAATTTCTTAGATTCAGCATTGTTGATCATTTTAATTTTTTACTGGTTTTTCTTTCTCATTATTTCTGGTATGTTTTATTGCAACTCTTAGATTATTATTTGCAAAACTGTTAAAGAAATCTTCTGTCATAACTTAGGAATGGTTACTGAATGAGGAATAACCAAAACAGAGGTTGAAAATGAAATGGTAATCTTTATAACATCAATAAAATACAATACTCGCCAACAGCGTGAAGTAGGTAAACCACTGCTAGTCGTGGACTACTTAGACTGCATATTACCTTCACTTACAATAATGTCCCACATATTTATGAGGATTGGGACATAGCCATTAGTGTTCATAGATATGATATATAACAGCTACATTATTAAAAAAATAAAGAATGGAAAAATTGAACTCAGATTTTTGCTCAGTATTTGTTTTTTCCTTTTGCTTCAATTTTTTTAAGATTTTGGAGCTGTAAACCGAAGGTGGTTATCTATGAAAACTACTGGACAAAATAGTTTATAATTTACTTATACAAACAGGGGAGAGGTAATTGGAATTTTTCTCAATATGCAATAAATGGGAGGGTCTCTTAATAAAAAGGTGGGAATCAGAAAATCAATTTAACAAGTCAAAAATTTAAGTAAAGAAACTATTATTTTCAACTCCATTGTAATAACCAACTTTATTC